CTGTTTCAATTAGATCTCTGGCTGGTAAGGATCTCTTGGCACAGTTATGACCAGCATGTTATTGCTGCACCTTCCTGATAATCTCAGCCCTACATGGGGTGGGGGGGGTGGGGGTGAAAATTGATTGTGTGCTGCCTCAGGTCCTGAGCTGTCTTGTGACTCTTACTACAATGACATGTGAGTGGTCTGCAAATACAAATCTGTATTCTGTGACCACTGAATGATTCCTAATTCTAATTCGAAAATCCTACAAGTTGATGTAAGCTTTGTGCCATGTTGACCCTACACTACTTTCCTATAATATCAGGTCACTCTGTGCCTTCTAGAAGTATGGCCAAGAGATGCAAGGATGTGTCCTTGTGGCATGAAGCATAATCAAGAAAATTACTGCTCCATCTCCCAGATGGGAGGAGTGACAGATACTCAAAAGAGACACTAAAGGAGGAAGGAGCACTATGCTCTTCAGACCAGTATTAGTAGGGCTTATTTCTGCTTCTCTGAAACAGACCGGCTTTGTATCTGGGCTTTTGCCTCTCTGAGAACAAGTTCAATGAAGATGGTATCATGCCTTGCTGTGGATAAATGCTTCCCAAGTGTTTGCCTGGTGAATCAACCTAGAGACAAAACATATCTGCTGTTGGAGACTGAAAAAAGGCTTATAACACTCTCCCCAGAAAGCCCTCTAGGGAGGAGTCTTAACAGAGGAGACTTTCCCAGCTGCCAATCATCTACGATAGATTTAGGGGCCATAGTGCCTGCCTAACTATGTGGAAGGATGTTGGGATTCAAGAAAATAAGACAGAAATCTTACATCCTTCCCTCCAGAAATTCAGCATCATTTTCATCAAAATGAAGCCACTTAACAGCATAAAATTGAACAAAAATTAAATGGCTACACTAATATTTCAGTGAAGCTCAATTTTTTTAAAATTTTTTTAATGTTTTATTTATTTCTGAGAGAGAAAGAGAGAGAGGGAGAGAGACAGCGTGAGCAGGGGAGGGCCAGAGAGAGAGGGAGTCACAGACTGAAACAGGCTCCAGGTTCTGAGCTGGCAGTCAGCACAGAGCCCGACGCGGGGCTCGAACCCACGAACCGCGAGATCATGACCTAAGCGAAAGTCGGACGCTTAACCGACTAAGCCACCCAAGTGCCCCTCAGTGAAGCTCAATTTTAAAGTAACCTTTTTTCCCCCTCTGTTCACAGACCCCCCCTCCTACCTTCTGAGCCTTTTGTTTCAGGAATCCAGTACCACTCTGAAAACATGACACACAACACTAGCAGCACATACACAATACCCATCGAAACTGGCTAGCTCCTGTACCTCCCAATAACCCCACTCCCCACCTCTTCCTCTGAGCAGCCTTGCTGTTTTTGAAGGCCATAGTCTGCTGTAGCCTCCTTTGCCTGGCAAAGCAATAAAGCTATTGTTCTTCTTTATCCAAACTCTGTTTTCTCATTATATTTTGGCTCTAGAACATGGAGATTGGTTTTCTACAACACACTGATTAATGGAAAAGAGAAGGTGCTGGAAGTGAAAGCCAATCAAAGTGATAAGGAGTGTGATGGCTGGAGTGACTCAGATGTGTAGGTTACTATGGCTCAGAGCATTTTAAGGGTCCCCAGTTAAGGTACTGTGGAGCAGAAAGTAGTAATCCAGGTATATCTGTGGGAAGTCTTACTGGCCCTCCATCTCTTGCAGGCCCCCAAAACTGCCCATTTCCTCTCTCATAGTCAAAATGCTGACCTTCAAACCCCAGATAAATAAACCTTCTGTCCCACCAGCGACCTACAAATGTCTCTTCTGAAGAACAGGAGGTATTTTCAAAGTTCCTGGAAGAAAATGAGCTGAATAGGATGGCCCAAGATGCAGTGTGATGAACCAAGTTGGTCACTCTGAGAAGTAGATTAAGTTCTACACATGACATCAAAGAATTGCTCAGGTTATGTTCCACAATGATTAAAATTATTTTTTGGCTCAGAGGCAAATACCAGATGAATCTCTTCTTATGTCCCTTGAGAGTCCTGATGTACAAAACCAGTGAAAAAGGAGCTGGGGCATACCCACTGCATCAGAAAGTCACTGCTGTGAGGCTTCATGTCATCATCATTGTGCTTCATCATCATTGTCAGAAATTCAGTGCTCCTGAAGGATGTTTTCTAGGTAACTGAAGTCAACTCTTCAAGTGCTAGGAGTTTTTTCTTGATTTTGGAAACTTAGTCACACCTTCCAAAAATATACTATATACTTCTCCTGCACTCTTATGAAAGGATGTTCTTAAATAACTTTAATCTTCTTTGATAAGCATGATTAACTAACAGGAACATGAATTACTGTGTTCAGTCATCCTAAGACGATGTCCTCAGGTTTTGAGAACTGTGGGATTGATATTCCCCACTCTAAATGATCCCAGAGACTTGCTCTTTGTTTTCTTACATATGTATTTTATAATTATCATTTCCTTTTTCATATTCAGATTGTCAGGTGTTATTTCTGACACTGGTCTGGTTACATTTAATAATAATTCAATCTACCATTTGCTTCTTCAAAGTTACTGTTTTCAGGAGAACAATAAAATAATGTTTATGAAAATCATTTGCAAAGCAAGAATAAGATACCTTAATATTAGGACTGAAGTGCCTCTGAGTGGTATCTATAAACTTAAGGAATATATTTTGTTATATCCACTTTCCTTTTCTTACTTGGCACTCAGTGTTCCATATAAGACCAGTTTCTTGAGAAGAATTTCAGTAAAACTTTCAGTGAACACCATCCTAGGGAAGTGAAGTCCCTGGGTATAAGCTGGTTCTATGGCTCAAGTGCTATTTCTGGCACACAACACTGATCACATTTCCTATACTATACATGTCACAGAACTGTTCTTTACTTCAGAAAACTGTAATGGTTATCTATTTGTGATTATCTGACTGATGTTTTCATCTTCTAAAAGACTGTAAATCCCAGGAAGGTGGGGGCCAGGACTGGTGTTGTTCACCATTACATCCCTAGCAACTGATATAGTAGGTACCGGATAATTCTGTGATGAATGACAGCAGGAACATGTGGCAAGTCCAGAGCCCACATTTCTGGTTGTGTTGGTGCTGTCTTGTGTGACCTTGGATAGAGCATTACACATCCTTTGGGTCTCAGATACCACATCTGGGAGAAGGTCTTTAACTGGATGGTCATAAAGGGTTCATCCACTCTAGACTTCTATTTGAATACAAGAAAGAAGATATCAAGATTAGAGGATGGTCCAGTACAGAGCTGGAGGAGAGGCAGTGGCAGGGGTGGTCAGCTGAGCATCCCCATGGCACAGCAGGAATGACTCCTAGGAGAAATGTTATCTTTCTACAGCTGTCCAGACTTTAGAAAACTGTGAAGAAAATAAGTTTCTCATTGAAACTCTCCTCTTCCTTTCTGTATCCCTTTGTTGAAACCCCACACCTACTACCATCATCATCACCACGCCACCACCTCCAACAAATCAGCATCATCATGCCTCCCATTCTGTCTTGCTTCTAATAAAATGGAACAAACTCATGCATGGATAAGCACAATTTAGGGACTTTCTCTCACTGTACTCTCCTGCTATCAGGGTTTGCATTTTCCAATGTAGCTTGTTTTAGGGAATGTTTAACTCATAAATTATTTGGTAAAGACTGAACTTAAGGCAAGGGGGAGTACTTTTTTTTTTCTTTTTAGTGGTCAAAGAGAGACTTTCATAAGGCTCCCCAAATCCCACCCAGAGGCTCAATTGCTTTGCCAGCCCCGGCTCAGTGCCTGACTCCTAGGAGTGTCAGGTAAATCCAAGTGGGCAAACCTGTTTCTACATACCACTTGTCATCAAAATCATCATTTGGGTACTCTACCTCCCAGGGTTGGAGCTAGTAGGAAAGTGAGGCATTTATCTTGGGAGCAAAACTTAAGGGAGCCCCTAAATCTCAGTAATATTTTAATGTAACACTTAAAAATCAAAATTAAGGAAAAAATCCATGATGAACAAAATATCAAAATCTTAACATGTTAACACCAGATATGTCGTTTTTCTGTTTTTGTCTCAGGCTCCAATATGGCTTGGCTTGGTACTTCTTTGACTCTTACCTCCTTCAATTCTGATGATATGCAACTGTGAATGCACATAACGGAATGTGCAAAGGAGGCACATTGGTGCTGGCTGCATCACTGTGCACGGGGTGGGGGTGAGGGTGACTGTCAGCTAAATACCCAGAGTTCAGGCCAGTGTCTTAGCTGTCCGTGAACTGAAGGGAGCCCCTGACACACTCTCACCTGATGCTTCCCCTCAGGATGAGCTGTCGAGGGGCAATTTCCAAAGGCTAAGAAAAAGGCTCTTGCTGGAGCACAGTAGCACTGCTCTCTGTTGAAACCATTACTGTCGTGCACACGGAAATGTCAGAGTCATGTACAAGCTTTTCACATTTCTCCACGTACCCTTTCTACCCTACATACTGAAGACCGGATTCCCGCCATGAAATAGTGAAGTCCTTCATTTCCTGTTCCACCAAACATCCCTGTCATATTAAAATCCAAAGACAAACTTTATTTATGTATTTCTCATTTTCTGTAACTCTAGGAGCAAATGCAGGGACAAGGAACAAAGGGAGCGATTTCTCTTTGCTGAGCACTTACAGAATATAATAAATGGTGACAAGGGAGGATCTTTATTCTGAAAAATGTCTAGCAATTTTTGAGATCCCTCCCTACTAGCTCTCAAGGGATGGTATGAGTGAGGGAGGAGGCATCTCAGTAGTGCCTTTTGTCTATCAGGGCTCCAGTTTTCTGAAAATACAACTGGGGGAGCGTGCCAAAGGAAAAATGATCCTTAAGTGAATGGGAGGATATTTTTGGAATGGAAATTAATCCTTTTTGAAAATGAACGATGGGAGACCCTTCTGAACGGAGTACCAATACTGCATAACAGGTGTGGTTAGCCCAGGCATGACACACCTGATGACGTTGGGGAAAGCAGGCAAGACTAACCTCAGGTGATATTCCTCTGCTCTTCATGCCTCAGTATCCATGTTCCACCTACAGTCCCAATATCTGTCCTGGGTCATCTCCACTTGCCTCTGGTAAAATATTGAGAACTAAATTTAGCATTATCTCACACAATTATTTTTCCATTTTACTAGAAGAGCACAGAATGGAAAAATACGTAACCTGAGTTAATCACATAAATGTTTAATTATCACAGTTCTTAAGGGGTCCCATATAAAAATGCTTCATACTATATAATGTGTGTTGGGGGGGGTATTTTCCCCTTATCCTCCTAGATTCTTGTGGCTCTTCTATTAGTTAAACTGACATAAGACAGATTAACTAGAGAAAAACATTTAATTTCACATGTATAAGAGCACCATAAAAATATGAGATTTAAGGCAAGTCTGGGAGGCTCATATACCAAACTGAGCTAAGGAATGGAATAGGGACCTAGGGCTTCAAAGGAGAGGAGGGTAATTTATAGGGCTTTAAGAAGATCAGACAGGTACTTAGAGTTTGGTAATCAGATACTTGTCTAATTTGAACAAACAAGCCTTGCCAACTTCCCCACAGCTTACCACACCTAGCTTGTACTCTTTTGTAGTTATCTCTGGTGATAGGTTCCTTCCTAGATCAGGCCCTCTATCTAAATTATTTTAGGCAGTTAAGGGAGAGGTTAAAAGCTCTTCTTGAATCTTCTGAGCCTTGATTGTCTTTAGCTCAAAATAACCCACAGGCCAAAATGGCACATTTTGTTGAGGCTCATTCTGAATCCCTTCAACAAGAAGGGAAGAAAATCAGATGAATAATAAAATATGCAAAATAATAAATTTATTTTCTCTTTAGACTGATAGTCAATTCTGTGATGGAGATTTTGGAAAATGATCCGGTTTAGCTAAAGACTGCAGTGCTGATAACCTCTCCAGTTTAGGACATTGTTCCTATTTCTTTCTTTGTTTTTTTTAATTTTTAATGTTTATTTATTTTTGAGAGAGAGAGCGAGCGAGCACAAGTGAGGGAGAGGTAGAGAGAGGGAGACACACATCCAAAGCAGGCTTCGGGCACTGAGCCTGAGGAGGGTTTGAACACATGAACCTGAGCCAAAGTCGGACACTTAACCGACTCAGCCACCCTGGGGCCCCCAGGGCCCTGTTCCTTAAAAGACACCGTAATAAAGGACTAGCTACAAGGGAGGTAGGATCCACTAGCCCAGTGAGGGAGGCAATGCTAACATGTCCTCAATGCTTTTAGCGTCAATCCTCTGTAAACGGCCATCTGGCTCGTGCCTCACCAGGTCTAGAGCAGAGCCTAGATCCAAAAGGTCACACCTACCTCCTCACAGCCGGTTCAGAGCCAGGCAAAACCAGGAGTTACTATCCTGGGGAGCGCGAGGGCCCTACAATCAGCTAGCCAATGGCCATGGAACCGTATCAGGCCAGCGGGAGTGTGGGGAAGCTGAAGGGCGAGCTGGTCTCAGGATGGCGGGTATTTGCGGCCCCACTTTCGGACTTGGGGGCCCCTTGGGGGAGCTAAGGAGGACACAGGGGTGCCTGGAGGCATGCTCTTTATGCTGGAGCCATCAGGGATGCCATTTATCTGCAACATGTACTCACTGACCGCCTCGGGCGAGCTGCCCCACGTCTGGAGGAGAAAGCAGAACCAGGTGTACAGCGACGTACAGCTCGACCGGCTACGGTCAGCGAGGCCCGGGCCTGCCGCAGTGGACCTGACGCCAGCTTCTGGCTTCAGGCAGGAGCTGCCAGGACCTTCTCCTCTCCCCCCTCTCCCCCACGTGCTAGCTTGCCTGCGGAAATCCACTTCCTGCGTTGGCGATAGATGTCTTTGAAGCCTCGCCCCCAACGAGGAAACCCCACCCCTAGTCGTGGCCCCCATGCTCCCGACGCCCAAGTGAATCTGGACTTAAAGTTCCGGCCCCAGTGGGCGCAGGGACGCTGCTCCCGCGCCTGCGCACTGGTGTCCAGGCCACGCCCAGAGACGCGTGTAGGCGACTGCTGCTTTCCTCCGGGAACCTGTCCTGGATCCAGCTTCTTGGCCCTACAGGACTGCATGCCATCATAGTCAGGTTTCACCCACAGCTTCTTGGGAAAAGGAGGCGTCCGAATTCTAGAAAGAAATTAATGGTCAATAGGACGTTGTTGGATGTTTGCATTTGAGGTTTAAGTGTTTCCTGTGGGGACGGGCTCTGGAAAATAATTGTGAAAGCAAATGAATTTATGACTAAAAATCGGTGCGGAGTTCTAAGGCGCAGAGTGAGCAGTGTCGACATAACCGGCCTGATGCATCCTCATAGCAACCAAGGAGCCTGCGCAGCTGTGGGCCGGCCTCTCTTCCAAGGTGCCCTCAGGTAAACTCAAGACCACTGCGCTGAGCTACTTCTGGTTTCTCCCACCGTCCGGCACAGAAATACTGAGTAACTTGCAGACAGCAGCTAGGCTGCTCCCTGCATGGGACAAGGCCAGGAATCAAGCTTGTGATTGGTAGGGTGTGCTGCCCCCAGAAGGAGACAGAAGTTTCCAGAGCATTGGCCCTGGCTGAGCTCACCTGCTTTGTTTTGAATCCATCCATTCCGATGCAGCAGCAAGCCCGGCTGTGCTAGGCGCTGGGGATGAGGTGAGGAAGGCAGACACGGCCTCATTTCAGGGAGTTGGAGCCCAGGGAGAGAGCAAATCTAGATATTGACCACAATAGCATTGTGAATGCTTAGAAGGAGAAGTAGAGCATTGCTGTTTGGCAATTGTGGTATTTCAGGTTGGGGCTTAAATCCTTATTTAAACCAGTGTTTACAACTATTACCCTAGGTTTCTGCAGAAGCTTACTAATGGTTTATATTGCTAGGGGAAGCTGGACTTGTGGGAAGCACGTAATTCTTAGATTTTGTTGTTGGCTCTCCAGTTCTCCAAGAATTGAGTATTTCTGTTATTTCCATTTAATATATTTAACTTCTGGTGTGTTGGTACAAAGCATCATAATATTCTAGAGGAATCATACAATGTGAAAGCATGAGACTAGAGGTTGATAAAACTTGACCTTCTCTGAATTTTAATGTTTCCTGGCTGAGAACAATAACTGAACAATAACTGAAATGAGAACAATAACTGAAAACAGTAAAGTATTATCCAAATGTTCTCGGTTGTTAATTATAGAACAGATGTATTAGGCCAACAATTTTTTAAGGTATTTTTAAACCAGTTATTTGAAGTAGTTGGTTTCTTATAGGAAATGCAACTAAGTTTTTCGTATATAAATCTTTGAACTGAAAGGAACTCAGTATTTGCTATGAATGGTCTTTTTGGGCAAAGTGTGTAGATTTCCTATCATAAGAGATTACAAATTAAATTATAAATGTGCTGGAAGAATGTTTTCTTGGAATAAGTAGATCTAGTACAATGGACAAGAATTTGGCAGGAATCATCAGTTTTATTGCTGGTACAACTATTTGAAGTGACCACGGTTCTTTACAAACTAGGCTTTTTATTGGAGTAGTAGTTGAATAGCGCTAAACTGTGTTATTAGGTGTAAGGGCAGAGGGAAAGGAGAAGATATTGTTTGCCTGGGTCTGCCTTGAACTTAACCTGAAAACCCCCAAACATAATAACTCTTCAGGCTATGGCAGCATTTGATCTTTATCCTAGTGGTGAACCACCCCTAAAAGTCTCTCATTATCTTAGAGGTGGTTCCCAATTCTGACAAAGTCTCAGAGTTAGTATTGATTGTTAAAATACTATGCCTTTTTTTGGAAGTGGGAGGAAACAATTGTCTCCCGTACTGTGTTGTTTTCTGTTTTCCTCTGTGGTCCTCTCCTGTACTTCTGGAAGGTTGTAGAAATTTGTTTATAGGACTGACTTATAAATAGAATCCTATTTTTCCACTATTTTACTTCATAATTCGGAGATGTGTCCTCACAGGAAAAAAAACCTTGGGCTTTAAAATTGCTTATGAGAAATGACAATCACTTCAAATAACATCTACTTTTTTGCAGTCTGTGACTTCAGTTATCCTTTATAATGCTTGAAAGGAAGACAGCCAGTTTTCAGGCAGTTGCCAGGGGCTGGGAGAAAGGAATGGAAAGTTAGTGTTTGATTGGTAGAGTTTCAGTTTGGAAAATGAAAAGAGTTATGGAGCTGGATAGTGGTGATGATTGTACAACATTATAAATGTATATAAACCACTAACTGTATACTGAAAAATGGTTAAGATGGTAAATATTATGTATATTTTATCATAATAAAAATTAGAGAAAAGAAATGGATAATTACCAGTGTTAGGTATTAAAGATGAGTGTTATCATGGATCTTAGCCTCTCTCTTTTAAAAAAAATGTTTATTTATTTATTTTGAGAGAGAGAGAGAGCACAGGCAAGCAGGGAAGGTACAGAGAGAGAGGGAGAGAGAGAGAGAATCCCAAGAAGGCTGTGTGCTGCTGGTACCACAGAGCCTGATGCAGGGACTCAAACCCATGAACTGTGTGATCATGACCTGAGCCAAAAACCAAGAGTCAGACTCTTAACTAACTGAGCCACCCAAGTGCCCTACACTGATCTTAGTCTTTGGTATTAAAAAAAATTTTTTTAAAAAGGATTAAGACTTGGATACAAAAACAAAGAACAACAAAAAAAGATTCTTCTAGACTCTGTTCTCAGTCTTCATCTAAATGACAGGCCTTAGACCCCCTTTCCTATCCCTGACCACCTCTCCTTCCAAGCTTAGTGCATAGTTCCCTAAGCTCTCACTGCACAATCTCAAACAGGTACATTTAATGCTAACAGTTTGTGTAAGGAATCTATACATCACTCTTTTCTGTAAAACACAGGTATTAAGTTATTAGCATTCTCCAACTGCTGAGTGCTGTGTAAGGCACTCTGGAGAGTGAGAAAGAAAAAGAGATAAACAACTCCTACCTTTAAGGTACTTAGAATATAAGAAAGGAGAGAAAGGTGTTAGGCAATTTCTATCATGTATTCAGAGCTATAATAAAAATGCTGTTAACCTTGCTGCTCAGAGTGTGCTCTTTAAATCAGCAGCATCGGCATCATTGGGGTGTTTGTTCCCAGCTCAGATCTACTGAATTAGAATCTGTATTTTAACATAATGATATGACTCATAATGTGTATGAGTCACCTGGGGATGCCAATGCTGCCAGTGCATAGATCACACTTTGAGACATGAATTTATAGAGTACAAAGGAAAGGATAATTCTGCCAAGCTGAGTGAAGAGTGAGGGTGTCATTGCAAGTATCACAGAAGGGGTACCATATGCATTGGGCAAAGAAGGACGGAGAAGGCTTTGCTGAGCAGATGAAGGAAGAGAGATAATTAATGGGAAGCCTAGGCAAAGGAGATAATATACATAACGACTTAGGGCCATGAACAATATATGTGGGGAATAGTAAGTAATAGTAGTAGTCGTGGAAAAATGGATGAAGAGAAGTTGAAAATCTAGGCTGGGACCATATTGTGAAAAATCTTTTATGCTCTGTCAAACACTATAGTCAATAGGAATTTCAGAAGATCTTTGAGTAGAGGAGCAACAAGATCATATTTTCTCATTTAAGTGAAGAGGGTAGACTGAATGGGAGAGAGCCAGACCACAACAAGAAGCCAGGAGGAAGTTATTGCAACAGTCGAGGCATGAAGTTAAGGAGAGCTGGAACTAAGGCAATAGTTATGGGAATGTATGGTTTTTTTTTTTTTAAACTGCTAAGTTTGTGCTAATTTGTTATGCAGCAATAGATAAACACAGATTTTAGTACCTAGAAGTGGGATTGTGCTGTAACAAATATATAGGAATGTGAGAGTAGTTGTGGAATCAGAGATTAGGCAATGGCAGGAAGAGTTTTGAAAAGCACGCATGAGAAAGTTCAAATTCCATTTGCAGACTGTAGTAGAAATCTGGACTTTAAGGACACTACTGGTGAGGATTCAGAAGGAAGAGAGGAACACGTTATTGGACACTGGGGAAGGGGAGGTCTTACTATATAATGACAGAGCCTTAGCATAATTACCTCCTGCAGTTATGTTAAAAGGAGAAATTGTAAGTGATGAACTTGGATGTATAGCTAAGAAGATTTGCAAGCAAAGTGTTGAAAGTGCCACCTGTTTTTTTTCTTCTTTATACTAGAATTTGAGAGACAAGAGATAAATTGAGGAAAGAATTCTTAAGGCACTCGAGCAAAAAGGAACCCAGATCCACTAATTTTGTAAAAAGCTTAGTGTTTCCAGATAACAGGAGATGCTAGATTTAAGAGATTCATTCTTAGAAAAACATGCTCTAGAGAAAAGGCTGAGGTCATTACAGCATTTTGCTAAAACCTAAGGAAGATCAAAAGGTCAGAGTATTCAGTTATACTAAGTGTTCTTTTGAGATATTCAGAGTCTGCCTCATAGATCCTTTCACTCAAATCAGAGGGTCTCCAGGAGACTTAAGAACATCTTCCCCTAACTATTTCAGTGGGAGCCAAGGATAGAGAAAGGATTTTCTTGAAAAGATCTGTGAGTGTACCTTTTGTCTATGGAGCAAATCCTTATGAAACCATGGAAGACCTGTAAGGTTCTTGGGGAAAAAAAAAGTTTTAGCAGAAATACTGCCAGTTTGGACTAAAAGGTACAAGAAAAGTACAATATTAAATGAGGCTGTTGGACCCACAAATTCTACTCATTAGAAGCTGGCTTATAAAATAACAGAGCTGCAAAATGTGTTATTTTGCACGG